CAGCGTGTTCTGTGTTTGTGCTCGTTAAACTGTTGTTGTTGTGATCCCTCACCCTTATTGCATCCCCTGTTGTCCTTCCAGTAAATCTTTGATCTCTTTTTAACAAAAAACCAAGAGCCACACCTTTGCTAACTCTTGTCCTCACATTACAGTGCTGCTGAAGGGGAGTATTTAATTGACGAATGCACTGTCAGCATATCTGCTGAGCTGTTGAAATACAAGATGTGCTGACTTGAAATCCATCTCTATGACATCGTGTTCAGGGATCTGTTGCTCAAAGATTGGACTCTTTAGTCACCTCAAGACCCATCACTGAGCATGGTAGGGAGTACTACCTTCCACAGCAGCATGGAGGGGTTTTCTCTGCCAGGCTCGGAGGGAGCAGTATCATATTATAACGGTAACACACATGTGGAATAATTGACACTTGTGTTTATTTTTAGTAGACAGATCTTTGACTTTTCCAATGACTTTTCCCTTTTCCAGTGAACCCCCCCAGTAAGAGGGTCCCAGGAGCAGATGCCATTGCACCTTCTCTATTGCCAGCATTTCCTTCCCTCTGAGTTTCCAGGACTGACAGACTGGGATGCAGCTGGAGGTAGACGCCGTGCATGGTGAAGCTTTACAAGCACCTGATAGGGGCCCTAAAGACTGCTTTACACCCAGGTTTAGGTCCTGACTGGGACTGCACCACATTCTTTCATCACAAGAAGACTTCAGCAGAGTTAGTGCAAGAGTTTGGTATTACCATAAGGCCATTTTCTGTAAAGGCCTTCCCACAAATCAGCCCTGAAATATGGGACCTGCTGGCCTGTGACCAGGTCATCAGCAATGCCTTCAGTGGGGAGAAGCAGGTCCAGCTTCTGTCAGGATGGCCCTGTAGCCTGGATGATGCCATAAAGTTACCACTGAGATGGAAGCAGTGAGAAAACTAGAGGCCCTGGATATCCAAGGTGCCAAGGCAAGGGTGCATGTGCATGTCAGGAGGGAGAAGTCAGGAGCACCCCCTACCCCCACCGCAGGGTCATCAACCTTGTGAACGGTGATGGAGACATTGCGAGAGAGCTGAGGTGGACTGGAGCAGCTCAAGAAGAGTATGGAAACCCAGCCCCAGACATGGTTGAGGCAGGGGTGGTGAGCAGTGACTACCCACAGAAGCCTGCAGCGGTGGTGGCCAATCTCAGGGGGGCATGGGAGGGCACGTGATCCCCCTACCAGTCACCTATGTCCCCAGAGAAGACGTGGGGTGTCATCAGGAGGATGCTGATGGAAATGGCACCGTGGCAGTCATGATGCCCAGGGAGGATGTGGTGTTCGGGCCAGGGAAACTGAGGTGGACAGTGGACAGGGGCCCTTCCACTGCTGGCAGACACAGAGGCTCACAGAATGGAGTGGTGATTGTTGGTGTCACTGGATTAGGGTACTATATTGAGGGTAGCAGAAGTTCCTCCTAGATTCAGGTGCTCGGGTATGCATTGTACACAACCTGGTACAGGAACAAACGGCAACAGAGACAGAGAACCCTCCAACCTTGTGGGCTAGTGGTCAAGATAGCCAATAGAGAACCTCTACCAGTTTTGGGAGAGTGGAGTCCAACCATGAATTTCCAAGACTTACAGATGCCGTGTAAGTCCTTGTAGCAAAGGCTGCCAGTCAAGATGCCTTGTTAGGTACTGACTTCCTAAAAAATTACCAGGTCTCTATGAGGGCACTGAAATAAGTCCCACGGGAGCATACAGATGTGTCACAACCCAAGGGTGTGATTTTTGTTTGTGTGTGCTTCGGCACTGCTAAATTATTTCCCGCCA